TCACTGGTTTAATGCCTACCGACTGTAGTAATTTTGCCATGCGATCTCTTTTCAGCAGCAGATCGTCAGCCATAATTTTCAGTAAATAGCTGTTTTCTGGCTTGGAATCGAAAAGCTCAAGTTCCTGTTCGAAAGCGCGAGCTAGCGCTTCCTAAACTTTCGTTTGCATCTCGACTTCCAATTAAAATTTAAAATAAAGTTATTTGATAAACTTACCTGAACGGGTGTACAGCAAGTATACACAAAGTCCTGGTGCACACTTTTTAATGGTCGCAGTAGTATTTCTGGAGCAAGAGCCCAACCAATTTTCCATCCAGTAACACTAAAAGCTTTACCTGCACTTCCTATCGTAACAGTACGATCGAACATGCCGGGAAGTGATGCTGAAAAGCAAAAATTAAGTCACTGAAAGAGTTAAGTACAGAACACTGTCCTAAGACATGCATTATAGTATTCTACGGTAAAAACTTAGCCTTTTTCAAATTAAGGTTACCAAAACGAATCATTTTTTTTGAATGTCCATAAACATGCCATTCGTAAACTTCGTCTGACACGACTATTAAGTTGTGCTTCTTAGCAACGCTAGCTATAATTTCAAGTTCATCTCTGAAACGTTTAAAGTTACTTTTCAGTCTCTCAAAACAACAACAAGTTTAAAAACTAAAAGCAGAAAAACTGCACCAAATAGTTTTAGGGTTTAAACCCTAACTGATACAGGGCGCTTTGTTTCGATAAAAAGTTTGATATGATCAGAATATGTAATAAATATTTAAATACTATTTTAAGTTATTACAGCTTCAAATATTAAGTTTGCAGGCATCAGTGCACCTTGTAAACAGTTTTCCAGTAGGATTATGAGGATTGTTTAATATGATCATCTTTGTCCTTGGTGTAATTTTACTTTCAAGAATTTGTGGATCGAAACGGTACTCCGAACTGTGTGTAGGATTTCCAGAAAGTTCAAGAAGAACCACCACCGGAACACCTCCTGCCATTTTGATTTGCGGAACATAGGAATCGAAAGCTGGTTCAAAAACTGTAATGGGCTATTGGCAACATATCTTAAGACAAAACCAAGTTGCAAAAATAGAAAATAAGACGAGTAAAAAAGAAGAATCATATATTAGTGTTTAATATGTGCTGCTTTGGAACAGACGTGACATACCAATAACTTCATCGCCATTATTTAACCACCCGTAGAAACTATAGGAGAGAGCAGCATAAGCTCCACCAGTAACCAAAACGTTAGTTTTTGGGTCGACATTCACAGCAAGGGTTCGAGAATATAATTTGGCCAGTACATTAACCGAAAAAATTGCAAAACCACAATAGAGTCAAAGCACTACTACTAGCTTTTGAAAAAAATGGAGTACT